CAGTGGTCACTGTGGACACCCCCAGCGGTCACTCAAGAGCAGTGGCCCGTCCCCAGCCGTCCAAGTCAGCCCGTCCCCAGCCGGCCGGAGTCTCCTTTGTCCACTGCTGGCGCCGGGACGTTAGCACGTGGCCACCCGAGGCGGCGGGAGCGCTGCCGTGCACAATCAGTGGACAGCGGAGCGCTGCAGCCGGCCGACAGGTGGAGGGCGGCCGGACGGAGCCCAGACACCACTTGGCCGCTCCGAATGGGGTCTGCCCCGGGCCGGTCAGACAGAGTCCATTTAGACGGCGTAAGACGACCACCGTCCGAGCTGTTAGTAATGATAACCACCCGTTGTCAGAGTCGATACTGGCTACAAACATCGCCCTGCAGCAGTCTGGCAACCGGTCTGGCAACTGGTCTGGCAGCTAGTCTGGCAAACAGACAGTTGCACCGTTAAGGCCCAGAGTCAGACCTTTCAGGTGGAATCTTGTCATCGACGATACAACACACAACTGCTGTCGCTTCTCCACGCAGATGACCAGCGGATGATTACCGCCCTCGCCACCTACTCCTCCACGACTGTTCAGCGGTCACCGGCACCGCCCGACTCCCAGCACGAGCCGGTCATTCCCAGGTGACCTCTGTGCCCCGCGTGGGAGGCTCACCGCCGGCACAGTGCGTTCCTTGACCTCGGTAGACCCTCGAACGCGGCCCATCACCACCCGAAGTGATCCAGGCCAGCCGGTGCAGCTGACTACACGCAGCCCGGCCAGAGCAGGGAGCGGCAGCTGCCTCTCCGTCAGGTCCACGCCGCACCGCCTGCCGCGTGACTGGCATGGTCGCTCCAAAGTCCAGCGTGTATAAACACAGGCCATATGGTGTCATTAATTCCGGTCTAGGGCACATCCCTGTCAGCATGACGACCCCAATCGGATAGTGCGTCAAACGATGAGCGACGGGGGTGTAGGACTGCCTGTGGATTCCTTTTCTCTAAGGGCGTGATGCAAATCCTAGAAAAGACGTCCCGCTCTGTAGTAAGCCGACTTCAGCCAATCAGTTTCAGCTGTGAGCTATGCAGCAGACTTCGTGAAGGGAAAGTATCAACTATCATGTGACAGTGCGGGTGTGTCGTATCTGGTCAGGCGCAGACCTGACGTGGTTCTGGACAGTGGTTGCAATTTGGGACATTGACGGCACCTCTATTCGCACGACGCTGGAGATAAGAGAAATCCAGAGGCTACAGAGAACCGTGGTAGCGTGACATTGCTGCTGAAACTTGCGAAAGATAGCTATAGAATAACAGGTAGACGGAACAATGTGCGTGGCTCCGTCCAGCCTCCTTCCGCGTGGTTTTTGGGATCTGCACGCCTTTGTGGACGGCACGCCTTTGTGGACGTCGCCCATAGGACCATTAGTCATAATGCCGCTTACGAATGTTTTTAACAGAGAATGTTTTTGGCTGCATCGTAGAACCACCTATCCGTCTACTCTCTCCAGCTCCCCTTCTCTCTCATCTCGCACGCATCCTCCGCCGATGGACATCGAGCAAGGTCACTACGCTCCTCTGCATTCCTTCACGCTTCTCTCAAATCCTGTTCTCCTTTTACGACCCAGTCTCAAAATAGGTGCTGTCTTTTGGGAGGCTAGTTACATCGACGACCAAGCAGCCAGATCTGTAGAGCGAATCTGTACCCTTTGATAGTGGCCTTTTACAGCACCAGCAAAAGCGCTTGTCCCCACAAATGTAAAACCTTTCCAGCAGTTTAGACGACGCTACGTTTGGACGCTGCACGGATGGACGGCGGGCGGCGGTGACGAAGAGCGCACGGCGGACGGGCAGACGATGGCGGACGGCGCGCGCACGACGGACGGCGGCGGCGGCGGCGGGGGCCGTGTCGCCGACAGCCTGCTGATGGATGGCCAGCCGGTGACGGTGTGTGACGACGCTGCTCTGCAGGGCCGCATTGGCCGCCGACAGGCTCGCGCTGGCTCCCAGCGCTCCCACGCAGCGCACGCGGCGCAAGGCCCGAGGCCGCTGTCTGTGCCGACTCCCACCGCCGAGCAGGACCGTCCCAGCGCTCAGCAGCGGGTCGCAGTCAGCCTGTCCCACCATAGGATCCGCAGTCTGTCTGTCCCACTGCCAAGCAAAGACACGCAGTCTGCCTGTCCCACTACCGAGCGGACACCATCGGTCTGTCAGTCTTACGGTCCAACAATGCCCCGCAGTCTCTTTGTTCTATATCGCCCAGCAAAGACCTAGTCTGCCGGTACAGGATCACACACCGGAGGGTAGAGCAAGGAGGGATTAAGTGGCTAGGGAGCGAACGGTAGCGGGAGAGCGAGTGAGGACGAGAAGGGCAAAGGACGGGACGGGACGGAGTGGGGACGGACAGATATCAGAAGGAGGTAACTGGAGCTCATTAGGGAGCGTGGGAGAGACATGAGGTATGTGGGACGAGAGTCTCAATGAAGGAGGGGCGTCACTACACGAGAAGGGAGGAGTGTCAGAAGCCGCGGTGGGAGGACATGTCGGACTCGTGGGAGGAGACACTGACTGACAGACAGAGGAGGCGGAGGGACGTGACTAGCCCCGGGAGGCGAGCCAAAAATGGATCCCAGCTGGCAGAGCTACCTCAGACGGCGCAGTCATGGAGAAGGGGAGAGGGCACACGGATAGACGTAAGACGGATAGATAGATAGATACAAAAGCTAGCATACGTGCAGACGGTCAGACGGACAGACGTACAGACAGACAGACGGAGAGACGAAAAGGCGAGCAGGCGGATAAACGCGTAAACAGACGAATAAAAAAGAAAACCCGACGGACATCACATGAAGCGAAACGGAAACAACCTTTGTTTTTAATAGCGAAAAGTCGAGTAGAAGCATCTATTGACACATTTCGGAACCACAGAGACTATGAAATTCCAGCCGAGACCCCATAGCCACGCTGTGTGCCATGCACTTCGAGCTTCGCAGCTTTGTCGTATAGAGTGGTTGTAACGCTCAAAGTCCTAGTTCCCTGGACAGTCTTAGCAGATGCTTTTAGCGCTGCAAAGTTTTCGCGCTATTTTTGGTGCAGAGAAGGTGAGTATGGCGTCTCTGGCAGCGTTCATAGCCCAATGAAAAGTTATTGGCGCATGAAGGAGCGTGGCGTAAGGCACAGATAACCCATATTTTATTTGAATATATAATGAAATAATATCCGATGGTGTTTGAGCCATAGGAATAGCTCAGAGCTAAGCACAGATATAAATCCTGTTCCATAGTAATATAAAACGCATTTACTCTGCAGATACTATGCAATAAACACGGATATTTGTAAAGCGGGAAGGCGGGAATCGGGACAGCGGTGGAATATCTCTGACGTCTCCGTGAACTTAAACATATTCATGTCATTATGCTAAGCCACTTTTAAGAATTTATCTGTGAGGGAGCTGCGAAAGAAAGGTCGAATGCATAAAACTGATCCAAGAAGTTAATTCACCTTGATGTAGGTTTCATTAATACAAACGAGTCCCGACACTACAGACTTCAAATAGTCTGACGCTCATTGCAATTTGCATAGAGCCATGCATATGCAATATTTTCACGGCAGACAGTTAACTACCAAGTGTCGGTACTAAGTCGGCCAACTACATATAAAACGCGAGTAAGGTTTCTCATAAAAATGTTCATATAACGTATGTGACGATAGCACCCCGAACATTGAGCTCAGCACATGGGTCGTCTTCGGTGCATTATAACGACCTCCGTCGTTCAGGTCAGCCGACCGCAACTTTTCTTTTCGAGAGTGCTCGTCAATTTGTTTAATTTCGGCCATGGATTACTAAAATTGCCGTGTACCTAATGCAAGTGCAAGCATCATCAGGCCTGCAGGTCAACAACCGTCCTTCTAACCCGGCCCAATACGCCTCTGTTTGAAACCAGGGGCATGACACAAAAGACTTTATTGACAGTACGGGGATCAGACAGCCCCAAGGCGTGTTATACGGCTGCTCTACTCCTGGACCTACAGGATAGCGAGGTTATCGGGCCAATAAAATAAACAATACCGACAGCATAAACATAGGACGGTAATGTGCTGAATTAATCCAAACATCGTGACACTTACGCAATGATTTCCAATATAAGCCATGACGATATGATAAATTTACATCGCGCACTGAAAGAGACGCATTAAACATAAAAAAGCTTTACGTTGACTATATTTCGCGCCGAGTACTTCCCATTGCCATAGCTTCACGCAGACCTGCGTCAATAGCGGACAGGTAAAATGACAAACTAGACGCACGTAGGAAACATTACAGAGCTGGCCAATAACACTAATGGACCCGCCGGCGAGGGCCAGATAGTCGGGCCGAAAGGTTTTAAACGCCTTAAACCTGGGCGCCGGCTGTTGGCCGATATTTCACGTCACCCGACCGCGATAGGGCGCCCAGTCTGCGATCACGTGATATCGTTAGAGGATGATTGGAGCAAACGGGCGCCGCAGGCCGGGCCGTTAGGGCCAAATATACGACGGGTATATCGGGCCGAGCGCCGCACGGCCCGGCCGATCTGCCCGGCCCGATGGCACTAACGCCCGATTTATAGAATACATTGGCTGTCGCTAGGGACAGAGCAGCAAAGTAAACATACATTTTGGTAGTGTCTCGGTTACATGTTTGTTTGGGACCGCCGCTGCGGATAAAAGGCTTGGCAAAAATGTTGTAATGAATCCACAAACGAGCGCTAAGCTCCCCGAGGAACACCAGGTGCCGAAATTCCTTCACACATGCGAGGGTAGCGCGCAGCAAACGTCATTACCCGATCCCCGGCAGGTAGCGCCCCTACTGGGGAGGGTGGGGAGGGGAGGGAGGATCAGCTGAGCGGGGTGGCGGCGCCGCCATACCAGCACCTCTGGCCGGGCGGTGCCTGAGAGCCCACCTGGCGCCGGCGGGCCTGCCGGGCTCAGGGACCCGCGGGACGGCGCGGCGCGGCGGCCGCGCGGCCAGCGGGGGGCCGGACACTCACCTGGCGTTGTTTGCCAGCTGAGACCTCCGATAAACATTTTCCTGCGGGCACACAGACGGCACGGATCAGTGGCGCGGCGAGGGCTGAATGGAGGGGCGGTGGGTATCGCAGTCCCTCCATGCACACAGGCATATGGAAAACAGGGTGTGCTATTTGCCGTCCAACATGGCCCAGAGGCCATCCGGGGTGGTCTCGGGACGAAATGGAGCCGCTACATGTCATGTTGGTGTCCGGAGAGTGTCGTTTTAGCGGCTATCGGGGTGCTTGACCTAGCCCTTATCAGAGAGACTACGCCGCCCCCCGGTGGTAGCGAGACGCCGTATTCTCATAATGATCCGACCGCAGACGGCGGAGAACGACGACAGAGCTTGGGACGCGGCGTAGAAAAGGAGGCTGGTAGCGTAACCCAAAGTATAAACTGAGAGAAACCCGCCTAGAAATAAAAAAAAAATGGGAGAAGTCTCAGTTACCTGCAGTTTCAAACAGCACGTCTTTCAAGCAAACTGCAAAGTCGCATGAAGTTCCATCGACTTGCCTAGTGCAAATGTATCTAACCAAATAACGTTTAACTAACATGCCGGTTACGGCGATGTTATTAGGACTGGTCGCACTGATAAAAACTTATGCTTCCGAAGCCAGTAATGTTTCCCATGGGCTCCGGGTAAATAATAAATAAGTCTGGACAAAAACCGTTTTCCCGTTTATGAAGCCCGGTCCGTGGTCGTTTCGGCCGGTGCAGAGCAAGTTCGGGCCGTTTGTTCCCGACTGTTGGTCACCGCTGACCCTTGGGTGACCCCTGTGACCGGGCGACCTCAGCTCTCTGCGGCGACATGAGAGAGTCAGCTGACTAACGACCACTCGGCCCAGCCCCTCTGTACTCGGCAGCGACGGGCGAGTGGGGCGCTCCTGTTACGGAGGGGAGATGGAGGGGAGGGGTTGGGGAGGGGAGGGGTTGTCTGATGTGGCCGGCCGTCACTGCACAAACCACGTGTGAAAGTTAGCACCGCGAACCGGTGTGAAAAGGACCTCCCACTGACAAACAGGGGAGTGTCCCCTCGTGTTGTGCTGGAGACTAGAGGGGGCGACGGGTGTGGAGTATGAGGGTTGTGGTGCGGACGAGCAGGAGGGAACACGAACCAGCCTGAACAGGGAGAGAGGATTTTCACAGGCGTCCGGTGAGGATAAGGACACTGCCCACGCCCGTACGCCTGACCGCTTGCCGCAGCAGCCATCGCGACCAGTCAACCGCGAAATGAAAAATGGCACGTCGCTGAAACGGCTGGGATTCCCGGCGCTCGGGCGCTCTGTGCACCTTCCCGGCAGGAGCGGCGCCGGGAGCGTTGCCGGGGGCGGGTCACACCTTCCCCCGTCCGCAAGCTGACCCTCGCCTGGTTTCAGTACAGGAGGCCCGTTGTGCAAGCGTTCATGGTATTGCACGCCGCTGCGACTAGCCGGCCGGCGCTAGTGGTTACGTAAACATGACATAAGGCGCGCGGTGTGCGGCGGCTGCCGCTGTCCTGAGTCGGAGCGGCCGCACCGGGCGAGCTGTCAGCTGACAGGACAGCACCAGCCGCGCTCCGGCCGACCCCAACCACCACGTGAAAGTTGGCCACGTGGCTGTGCGGTTGGTAACAGGTAACAACCCTCAGACCTCTCTCGTACCGCCGCCCCCACTGGACCGCCGCGCTCACCCTCACAGTAAAAACAACCTCTGCCCGCAAACAGAACGCGCCGATCCTCTCACCCCAGCAATGCATCCGATTCTCACCACTCACCCGGGGTCGTTGGGCAGCTCTGAAGGCGATCCGACCGAGTCCTGGTTCTCCATGCTGCTGACTAACCCTACCAACAAGCACCTACACACTACGTGGACGGACCGTCGTCACACGAACGCTCACACAGCCAGCCACCGACTGGCCGCCGGGCCGCGGCGCCGCGCCGCGCTCGCCCAGTCGGCGCGCGCCGGCCCCTCAGAGCCATCTCTTGGCGGCTGTGATTGGACGGATGAATCTCGCCGGCCGGCCGACGGGTGGTGCGCAGCGACATCTATTGAGCGTTGAGTAAGTTGTAGTAAAGGAGGGCTGAGACGGTGTGAGTGGGGCGCTGTAGTCAGAGGTAGAGCTTCCGTGGGCAGAGGCCAGAGCCCAGAGGCCAGAAGCCAGAGATGCAAGCAGAATGGTGAAGGAGTCTCAGTAGTTGATAGGCAGGGCTGTGGGGTCCGAGTCGGAGTCGGAGGCCAGGGTTGGATTTAGAGTAGGAGTTATAGGAGGAATCATTCAGTGTTGGAGTCGATCGGAGTTGACAGCTCAGATCGGAATTGTTGAGCCTTTTCTGACTCCAACTGGTGGCTCCGGAACTGGAGTCGATCAGTCGGCATTGTTTGACTAAGATGCCCTTAGCTGGTTTCTCGGTGTCATTTTGAGTTTATTTTTTACCAGTCGCGAACGGTGCAAGATGTATACTGATTTTATATAGAACGGTCAGGCCAGATGATCCAGCGCGGGCTGGATCTGGTCGACGGTCACCAGAGATCCTGTGGAGCTTGTGAGATCCTGACTTACGACCCATGCACATACTGATACAGGCCGTAATCGCCACGCGATATGAGAAAGCCTTTTGATGTCAATACAATACAATACAATACAATACAATACAATACAATACAATACAATACAATACAATACAATACAATACAATACAATACAATACAATACAATACAATACAATACAATACAATACAATACAATACAATACAATACTGAGTGTCAAAAACTCCATAGGCCCTCTTAGACCGTCGTAGCGGTGGGAGGCCCTCTTAGACTAACATGGGACCTACTGAGGTCGGCTTGGACTGTCTGAGACTATCCGGTGATATCGCGTGGGCGGTGGAATGGCATTCTGGGATTAATTTGAGGATCTTTGACGGTAATGAGGAATTCTTTCTTTCTTTCTGAACTTATGAGCATCTGCAAACCGAACGCCTTCACACTTCACAGACTGAGTTGATCTTCAGCACTTCAGCACAAAATGTCAGAAAAATCTGAGACAGTGACGACTGAAGACCAATGGGCCCGAGGTCCGAGGTCCGGCTGTAGCAGCGCCCTCTGGAGGAGAGCCGAGGGCCGCCCTCTGTCGGTGGTATATGTGGGCCAGCGATGCCATTCCTTGGGATTTGTCCCAAGATCTTGGGATTTGAACATTAACATTGGGATCTTGTGATTTGCACTGCATATCTTGGGATTTGGCAGAAGCTGATTTCACTTTGTCTTCTCATGCTGTCGAATGCTTTTTCCTTGGTCGATAATAGATGTAATTAGGATGGATTTGCCTCACGGACGGTTAAACATATTGAAGTAACGGACGAAGCTTGCGATGTTTCTAGCAGGCATTATCTTCCCGAGATCGCAGGATTATTTTTGTACATACCAAGGCTATAGAACTCCGTACATACCATTACTTGTTATGGGTATAGTAGCATCTTTCAGTCGCTGTTCGCAACTGGCGCTCATTTGTTTAATTTCCAACTACCGATCAACGGGGATGGGTGGTTTGGCGGCATGATGTTGGGTGCAGACCCCCCTGGTTTGGTGGCTATGAAAAGCTTTTACAAACATTATGCCTAAAAAATATTTCAGAAAGCGGCTCCCGCACAAAGCGTTTCATTTTACGGTTTTGCTCTAAGGAGGCTTATCCGTTGACCGCGAACCAAAATAAGGGCAATTTGTTTGTTAATTGGGGCTTTAGGGCGCGCCGACTACTTAGGTCATTTTGGGCATTTTGGTCAAAGGGACGAAGGACCTCTGGGCTCTGCTGGACCAAAAATAATCAAAGCGTAACCTTGCGACCTTCACAACACTGCTGACGTCTGTAACTATATAGTCCAGGGGACGAGCTAGGTCCTCGTTTAGACCCCCTCGCCATCGTCGGCTTGAAAATTCATGGGCCCCAGCGGGCACTGGCTTACGCGCAGATTCACAGTATAGGCTTTTCGATTTCGGGATTCACATAAGCCTTTAAGAGCTTGTTTTGGAGCCCATATTTCAAAACCCAGTGGTGGAAAACACTTAAAATCAGCCTGACCTCACCTGACCCTAGCTTCTCCAAATGTGTCACGAGACAAATTTCGAAATAAATCCAAAATGCCACAGACTTCGTTTCCAAGAAGTTTTAACAGATTCGGACTTTGTGTTTTAGGTCCTTGACCCACCATTGACGGTCAACGAATGACCTGACCATAATATCAGATACCACCGGCTTCATGTTGTCTAGGCCAGCATCTTAATTTTTCGTGAAGCTCTTATATGCAGGAACCGATCAGCTGTAGGAGTCCGATCGAACCCCTCCCCCTCCCCTCCCCCCGGCCTCTAGGTACATTAGATGCTGTAAATACGCCAATAAGGACAAGGGTGGACCCGAAGAAGAGAAAGTTGAATACTAAACACACTAATATGTCCAAAATAAGCTATGGATTTACTTGGGGTACTCCTAAGGATATGCGATGGGTAGTCTTGGGATTCGAGACGAGAATCTTGGGAAATTCTGGTCGAGATCTTGGGATGGAGCAAAAATGTGGATGGCATCACTGATGTGGGCAGCGGAACGGGGCTGCGATCATTAAGGTTTTGTAGAGCCTATAGGATGTGATTATGTTAAATATTGGTGCCCAGGTATTGTGTGGTCATCGCAGAGAGCGCTGTACAATAACAGTGTGTGCACTGTGCAGTGTTCAGTGTCTATTAGATTGTTTTGTTAAGAGAGGGTTGAGGTATACATAACAGTTAAATGATAAAGTGCGCTCTCTGGGAGTGAAATAATGTCCTGAATTCCGTTTCACTAAACGATCCTGCAGGAGAAAGAACTCTTTGGGGGAAAATATGTAACACGATTTCGCCGGCAGCTTATCTAAAAATATGTTATGGAAGAACTGGGGGCTGGTCTAGAGAGGGGCATTGAAACACCACGTCCACATCGCATTGAGTTTTCGTCTGATAGATGACAAAGCGTTGTCGTTTCAAGGTGAAACATGCAGACTGCAGTGCTCCTTGGAAGATTATGTCGGCATATTTTGGTAAGGCACATACTATGAGGTTAAAAATGCATAAACTCGGAGCTTTCTCTCCAAAACTGTAGCTATGACATTGCAATGGGGACTCGAAAAATGGGTGAACAGTCTTATGAAACGTTAGGTACCTACATATTGGCGCTGTTCCACGTCCAAAGGTGATCGATATATCACAGGGAGCGCCGTACCATCTGAAATAATGATATTTCGAAATGCCATTCTTTTACGGATCTCAGATCTGTATTAAATACGGATACGTATTACGTATAAATTCAGAAAGCGCTTATGCAGCAGCCCTGGGGCTAGACCACTCGTAAAAAAAAACAGTGCGAGCTGTTTTTTTTTTTTGGCGTCGACTGCGAATTTGAACATAAAAGTTTACATAAAACATTAAAAGCTTAAGCAAAACTCTAAATAGCAGCTTCCTCAAGGCCTAGGCGGTTAACAGCGAAAGAGCTTATTTGTAAGCTAATCGCACCCCGCATTCTTTCGATGGCCACAGTACCTACCTAATCATGTACCAATCTCTACGTAGCTTGACATTTTCGTTATCACCAAGACTAAAGTTAAAACATTCAAAACAATATAAATTTGTGCATTGCACTATTTTGGAAAGGATTTATATCAACGGTTGGATACTCATTTGGCTGACATAAATATAATCACATCAAAATTGAATGCTAATTATTGTTTTATGATTATTATGCTCAGCTTTCATATCATCGCCATTCGTATGTCCGTCACCTCTATACCTACCTATTGAGTTGCTCATTGGTGACTGTTCGGAATGCACCTACCGGCTGATATGTCTTAGTGTTGATATGCATGGTGCTCGCCTAGTCAGAATGCATAACCATGGTTTCCGAAGCATAAATTTCTTTGAATAATCATTTACTGCGAACACGGGCACAGAGCTGTCACGATAAGTACAATATTGCGCCGCAGGACACCGGTTATATGGCCTTGACACCGCCACCGGTTCGCTCAGTGGCAAGTTCAGGCTTTTCCTGGCGTCAACCGAATGGACACACATCAACTCAGTGAGTGCCGGCATAAGCAACCAAATGATGGAAACAGGATAAGGGTAATTCGCCACTCATTATACCGTGCCGCCACCGCTAACACCGGTAGTACTGTGGGTTACAAGCACTGCTCATAACGACCTCTAGCCATGCATCATCGTTTGGTCGTCCAGGAAACTAGTTAAACACAGCGCTCTGGCCAAATGTCACCATCGTAGCATTCAGAGCGTGTTACACTCCCTGGGGCTGCACCCGAGCGTATTCAGCGTTTGGCGACAGCAGACTGAGGAATCCGTGAGTGCCGGCGCCGCCCATCTGGGGTCACACTCTACGATGCGCACTCTGCTGGCACTGCTGGCGGCCCTGCTGGCGCGCTGGCCGTCCACGCTGGGCCAGCAGCCGGCGACGCTATCGTCGCACCTCTCGGGCACGCTGCCCCCGGAGACGTTTGCGGTGAGGCCGGCGCCGTTCCTGGTCGGTAGCCGCGGCCACCTGATCTCGGCCTCTGACGAGCTCGGCCGCGCGCCGGCGGCCACCGAGTGCGAGTGTCTGACCCGTTGTTTCCTTAACGACCAGTGCTTCAGCTTCAGCTACGAGCCGGCGTCGAGCGACTGTCGACTGGGCTGGCGCCGCGGCCGCGGCAGCTCCACCGAGCCGGGCGGCGGCCTATTCCGCGTGCGGCCCGGTCTGGCGCGTCTGGACGACTTCTGCTGGTCGGACGACGAGTGCAGTCGGGTGACGCCGGCGGCGCGCTGTCAGGACGCCGTCTGCGTCGCTGGCGACGGCTCTGATGGCACCGCGGGAACAGCAGGCGGTACGGAGACCACATCAGAAACGGCATTTGCAGATGGAGCGGGAGGTACTGGAACCATGGACGGATCTGGAGGAGCTGGAGCTACTGACGGAGC